AAATAGTAAATGCAGTGTTGGTAATCCTAGTAGGGGCAGACAGCAGGAAGGAAGGGAAGTCTGGGTTAAACTGCATTTATTTCAATGCAAGAGGCCTGATAAGTAAGGCAAATAAACTCAGGGCATGATGGGTACATGGGATTGGGAAATTAAAGCTATTCCAGAAACACGGCTGACGGAGGGACAAGACTGGCAGTTCATTGTTCCGGGTTACAGATGCCATAGGAAGGATAGAAGGGGTGGGAGGACAGGAGGGGGAGTTGTATTTTGATTGAGAACATCAGGGCTGTACTGAGAAGGGATATTCTCGAGGGTTCATCCACTGAATCGATATGGGTAGAACTGAAAACCAAAAAAGGGGAGATCACTTCAATAGAATACTATTATAGGCCCCCCAATAGTTAGCAGAAGATTGAGGAGCAAATATGTAAGGAGATCACAGATAGCTGCAAGAATAATAAGGTTGTAACAGTGGGGGATTTTAACCTTCCCAACGTTGATTGGGACTGCCTTAGCGTTAAGGGCTTGGATGGAACGAAATTTGTTAAATGTGTTCAGCAAGCATTTCTCATGCAGTATGTAGATGGCCCTACTAAAGAGGCAAAACTTTACCTCTTCTTGGGAAATAAGGCAGAGCAAGTGATGGAGGTGTTAGTGGGGGAGCACTTTGGTATCAGTGAGTACAATTCCATTAGTTTTAAAATAGCAGTGGAAAAGGTTAGGTCCAGTCCACAAGTTAAAAAAGTTCTAAATTGGGACAAGGCCAATTTTGATGGTCTTGGACAGAAACTTTCATAAGTTGACTGGAGGAGGCTGTTTGCAGGCAAAGGAACATCTGGTAAGTGGGAGGCTTTCCAAAGTGAGTTAATGAAGGTTCAGGGCACGTTCATATTAGAGTGAAGGGTAAGGCTGGCAGGAGTAGGGGACCCTGGATAACTTGAGTTATTGAGGCCTTGGTCAAGAAAAAGGATGCATACAATCTATATAGACAGCTGGGATCAAGTCAATTCCTTTAGGAGTATAGAGGGTGTCGGAGTTCATTTGAGAGTGAAATCAGGAGACCTAAAAGGGGGAACAAGATGTCTTCAGCATATAAGGTAAGTAAGAATCCAAAGAGATTCTACAAGTACATGAAGGTCGAAATAATATCTAGGGAGAGAATAGGACCTCTTAATGATCAACGGGATCATCTATATGCAGAGCAACAAGAGATGGATGAGATCCTAAATGAATATTTCTCGTCAGTATTTACCATCAAGAAAGGTATGGATGCTAGGGAACTTGGGGAAATAAATAGTGATGTCTTGAAGGGAATCCACAATACAGAAGAGGTTGTGCTGGAAGTCTTAAAATACGTTCAGGTAGATAAATCCCTGGGACCTGATGTAGCACATCTCAGGACTTTGCGGGAGGAAATTGCAGGGTTCCTAGTGGAGATATTTACATCATTGACAGCCCCTGGGTTATGTGCCGGAAGATTGGATGGTCGCTAATGTTGTACCATTATTTAAGAAAGGCTGCAGGAAAATGCCTGGGAACAACAGACTGGTGAGCCTAATTTCTGTGGTGGATAAGTTGTTAGAGGTGATTCTGAGAAACAGGATCGACAGACATTTGGAGAGGCAAGGACTCATTTGGGATGGCCAGATTGGCTTTATGCATGAGAAATCATTCTCATAAATTTGATTAAGTTTTCTGAAGGGGTGACCAAGAAAGTAGATGAGGGCATTATCCACAAAGACTTTGGCCAGGCCTTTGACAAGTTATCGCATGGTAGGTTAAGTCTCACAGGATCCAGTTGGATACAAAATTGGCTTGAAGGTAGAAGACTGAGGGTGGTGGTACAGGGTTGTTTTTCAAACTGGAGGCCTGTAACCAGTAGTGTGCCACAAGGATCAGTGCTGGCTCCAATGTTATTTGTCATTTATATAAATAACTTAGATAAGAATTTAGGAGGTATGGTAAGTTAATTTGCGGTTGACACCAAAATTGGTGGTATTGAGGACAGTGAAGAAGGTTATTTGGGAATACAGTGAGATCTTGATCAACTGGGTCAGTGGGCACAGGAATGGCAGATGGAGTTTAATTTAGATAAATGTGAGGTGTTGCATTTTGGTAGGTCAAACCAGGGCAGGATTTCCAGTCAATACTAGGGCCATGGCGAGTATTATAGAACAAAGAGATCTGGAGGTACAGGTGCATGGCTCCTTGACAGTGGCAACGCAGGTAGACAGAGTGGCGAAGGCAGTCTTCGGCATACGTGGGAGTTCGGACATCATGTTGCAACTGTACAAGACATTGGTAAGGTGACATTTCGAGTCCTGCGTGCAGTTCTGGTCACCCTACTATAGAAAGGATATTAGTAAATTAGAAAGAGTGCAGAAAAGATTTACTAGGATGCTACCTGGACTGGAAGATTCGAGTTATAAGGCGAGTGTGGACAGGCTGGGACCTTTCTCCCCTGAAGCATAGGAGACTGAGGGGTGACCTGGAGATCTATAAAATGATGAGAGGCATGGACAAGATAGATTGCCAACAGCTTTTCCCATGGTAGGGGAGTCTAATACTAGAGAGCATAGGTTTAAAAATGACAAGGAGAAACACAAGGGTCCCGAAGGGAATTCTTTTTTACACAAAAGGAATAGATTGTTAGAGGCAGTGATGGAGCAGAGTACAATTTTGTCATTTAAGAAACATTTGGACAGGCACATCGATGGAATAGGTATGAAGGGATATGGACAAAAAACAGGCAAATGGGACTAGTTTAATTGTGAAAACTAGATGGCAGAGCCAAGTTGGGCCAAAGAGTTTGTTTCCACGTTGCAAACCTCTATGGCTCTATGTATGACAGATAGGAGATTTTAAATTAAAATGTCAGCCCCAATATGGGAGTTACTACTGATTTTGTAACACTAGGGAATGTATGAATGAAAAAAAAAATCAGGCAGAGAGCCATTATGCAAGTCCCCATTATCTAACTACTGCGACTTTGTGTAAGAAACATCTTTAAATGTATCATGCATTCAAATAAATAAGAGCATTGATTATAATGTTAGACAACTGACCTATCCACAGTAGTTTACTTGACAGCTTTCTGTCACAATGGTTTGTGCCATAGTGGATACCCTTATCAAATATCACCTGGTGTTGGTCAGGACCCATCGTGGCATGGTCATCTCTGCTGCACTTGTTGCAAGTGAAGACGGAGGGTTGGAGTAGGAAGGGTGTAGGATTCACAATCTTGTCTCCCCAGCTGAGATTTTCATTTCTGCTGGCTGCCACCCTTCCAAATTTTTCATTTTGCTGGTGGTCCCTCAGAGACGAGGGTGACTCCCTTTGACTCTCAGGGTGACTCCATAGGTGGCTGTACAGACTGATGAGGTTACTGCAGGCTCTGTTACACGTGGGGCGGAGGGTGTTTGAAGGAAGGAGTGGCTGGGGCATTGGTGTGGCAGTGCATTCCTTTCACAGTTTGTGCCTGGCTTCTACTTTTTCCCTGATGGCAAGTCTCAAGGTGCTCGATGCCTTCCTGGAAGCTCCTCCTCCACTTTGGATGGTCTTGGGCTAGTGTTTCCCAGGTGTCTGTGGGAATGTCGCACTTTGCTACTGAGAGCTTGAGGGTGTCAATGATGCACTTCCTCTGTTCACCTGCGGCTTGCCTGCCATTTTGAAGCTGGGAGTAGAGTACCTGCTTGGGGAGTCTTGTGGTCATGCCTCAATGATGGGGATGTTGGCCTGGTCAAGGACACTGGCATTGGTGCTATTTCTTCTAAGTGGATTTGCAGGGTCTTGTGCAGACAGCGTTGGTCGTGTACTGCTTCAGCACCTTGAGGTGTCTGCTGTAGACAGTCCACATCTCAGAGCCATTTAGGGGGATGGGAACCACCACAGTTCTGTTAAACATGATCTTGGCATCAGGACTGATATTGCTGTCCTTGAACACCCCTTTCCTCAGGTGGCCAAAGGCTGAGCTAGCACACTGGAGGTGGTGCTGGATATCTTTATCAATAGCTGCTTTGGTTGACAGGGCACTTGAGGTATTGAAGTGGTCAATGTTCTCTAAGGTCTCCGTGTGGAGTTTGATGATCAGGGTTCACTCCACAATTTCAGGCCATGTTGGTTGAGGACCTTTGTGTTGCAGATGTTCAGGGTGAGACCCATGCTCTCATATGCCTCTGTAAAAGGTGCTGAAGATGGCTTGGAGTACATCCTCTGAGATTGCATATATGCAGCTTCATTTGCAAACTGCAGCTCAATGACACTGGCTGGGATGACTTTGGTGTGGCTTGAAGGTGGGGAGGCTAATAACTTCCCCCATGGAACTCAAAGACCCAGGGAAAATAGCCTCATACAACCAACTCCTCTCCACAAACTAAGTGACCCTCGGTGAAACAGAGTAATGGGATCCCAACAGCCTCTGGTCTCCCCTTAAGACTGCTATCATCCCTTCCAAACAGTCAGGGTCAAGCAGTCGCAACCGTTACCCAGTAAACCACTTGTGTAAAGTACCCTGATCCTACAGCAGTGTTAGTTATGTGTTCAAAAAAATGCCTACATGTCATTGCTAGATGAAGCTTAAGTTACAATTACTTACTTTACATGCTTTAAACACAAAACAGTTTTAGAAACAAAGAATATAAATCTTGTCAGCACTGAATACCAAGCTTTGATGTTGAACATTCCCAAGAATTTGTTTACCCAAGTTAGGCAAACAAACAAGTTGGGCAAACTGCAGAATTTTGGTGCAGGGTATGAAAGGTTAAAATGATTTGATCAGCAATTTTCTTAGTTGCACATTTATTAAAATTTTGAAGTCAGAAATAGCTCCTTTCTCTATGAAGTACATTATCATAAAGATTATTCTATGCTTTGTGGACTTTTTCAATTAATCTATTACTTGGGAAAATTAGATATGGCAACATTTTTAAACTTCATAAATCAATCGGGATTCAGAATTAGATTTTAGAAAATGTGCCAAGTATAATTCAGGCACCAAAACATATTTTTTAACAGGTCTTTATTTATGTAACATTTTATTTCCACAAACATCTACACAATTATAAAACATCTACCTAGAAACTAGATCTTTATTATTTAGAAATTGCAGTAAATAAAATGAAGCAGTAATCCTAACAAGGTAAACTGTTAGGCATATTCTTTGGTGGCATCTTCTGGCTTGCGTGTAAACTTCTCTCGTATCTTTTTCCACAGACCTTTCTTCATTTCTTCCAACTGTTTCATGTTATCTACAAAGAATAAAACAAGAATCAACAACTAATGCTGTCTGGCCATCTTGTGACCAGCAGTATTCAGCCAACAGCACCAACTCAAATAGCACCCTGTGTACAATCGGTTAATTTGGCACAGACCAGGAAATGAACCCAACTTCTTGTGTATTAGCTTACCAACTGAGTCAGTTATGTACATAATGCACTTCACAAATATGAATGACTGTGCAATGAAATTAGAATCTATTAAAATAGTGCTAGAGAATTTAAATCTAAACAGATGTATTTAAAGTCAGCTCATGTCAAACACTTAAGTCTTTAAACACTTAGTTAATGCAAATTGTAACATTTAGAGGTGGAGGCAGTCCAGTGAAATATTTTGAATATTGAAGAGGACTTGCATGCATCTTCACAAATATTACCTAGACTTGCTTTAATTTTATTTTCAACCGCTTTAACGCAAGTCTCAATTTTCGCAAGAAAAGATTTTCTGTGCCATTCCAAACAAATGTTGCACAACCTTCTATGCTAAAAAGTCATGAACTAGTCTGCATCTGTACATCACAAGAAACTAGGGGTTAAAATGTGAGGAAATGCTTTTCACAAATCTCAGTTGCACAATTGAGCTGTACAGAAATGAAGATATTTCTTTGCAAGTAAAGAATTTTTGTTACATTCTTGTGCTTTACACTTCCAGAAATGATTTGACATAATTTGAATCATAGCACTCTTAAATTCAACTTTTCTTTAACATGTAACGTTGAAATGCCATAGACAATACTTATGCTATCACAATTATTTTCAAATAACACTGAACGCAAGTTGGGATGTCCTATGGCCAGTAGAAGGCATTCATCCCACTGAGCCGTAAGTCCAAGGCGTACTCCAAGATTTGTTGGTCACAGGAGGGGCATTCATGGTGCTGCCATTCAGGTTGGAAATTATTCTGTTAATCCTTCAAACATAACCATGGTAAAACAGATTCCTGTCCAGCCTGATGCACAGTGGAGCTCCTCATTAGCCATCTGCCTCTCTAGTTATTTAATATCCACAGCCATGAGATGGCTATGACTAATTACAGACAGATAGGTGCATACTACAATGGAAAATTAGAAAACCCTATAGAAATTCTGACAAAAACTTCTAATGAATTGCCAAGTATTCCAATGTTTTAATTTACTTTATAAACATTCATTCTTCACCAACTTAAATATTTGTTTATAAATATAGTGACTATTCCAGAAACCTGGCATTTGTTATATTCGTTCTTCATCTTTACTGGAGCCATGTCACAATCTAATGACATCAGCAACAGCACCAATCTGCAATCTAAATGCAGCTAGATAAATAACAGATCAAAAGGAGACTTCCCAGAGCACTTTTAAAATTCAATGTCAAATGCTACTGCTCAGTTGGTTCATAAAAGTATCCAATTTAAATGTCTGCACCACCATTGTAACCTTTCAAAAGACCATTATGCACAATTACTACATCCATTTCTCTACTGTAATTTCTTCTACTTAAATATAATTTTCCTTTTCCATGGAGAGACACTATTTCAAAGACTGGTTCTAATGTTGTACTTACTTCACTAGGGCTCATCCTCATTATCCCTGGTTGAAAAGAATATAGTTGATGTTGCATTTGAGAGACAAAGTGGATACCAGCGCATTCAAATTGGTTATGGCATTGGTACATAAATTATGCATCAGGAGTGCACCACACTTCATACCGGTAAGATCTCCAGCTTAGGCATTCAACATCAATGGCTGAAACAGTCAGTCTGCATATGCAAGTAGAGAATCTCAGACTAAGAGGCCTCCTTTCCAAAAATTCAGTTGCCCCGGATGCAGCAGCACTAGTACTGCAGGATTCACAGTAACAACGTTCACTTGCAGTTAAACCTGTAGTCCCTGTTCACTAAAACATTTACTCAGGAGGAATGCACTTCCTGGCTTCACATTCAATGCATAACCAAAAGTGAATCCCCCATGAACAACACTGCTGTCCATGCTTTGGACACTTCTAACAGTTTACGTATGAAAAGTACTTTACCCTAGCACTCTTGTTGATGAGGCGGACAAAGGGACACTGAATTCAATCGGTGGCTCAACTCCGTCTTGTAAACAAAATATTCCTTATTAAAAGCACTATGTGAGCATTTCCAGATTCCCACAATACTTACTCTTTATCTAGTTCTGTCTGAGAAGGGATATTACCTGCAACTATCGAGGTTTAAGCTAGGCTGTTGGAATCTTCCTCATCTCTGACATATGGATGGCTCTCTTCTATGAAGATGGGTTTCGCGGATGAGGGTGGTTCTTCTCAGGTTGCTGCACAGTCTTCACTATGAAGGTGGCTTCCATATGTGCGTTCTTAACCCACCCGACCTTCCACAATGTTTGTGGTCTTTGGCTCAGTTCAAAGCAATCAGTGGGGTTGCGTCAAGGCTCTTCAATGTTGCTATGCCGAGGATGTGCAGAGTGCACAGCTTCAGGCAGTGGGTGGAAGTCAAGATGCCTGGAAGTCTGATTGAAACTTCTCCAAAACATAACCCATGGGCTGGTTGTAAGTGGTTCCCCCGAACCTTGTGACCTTGGTTTTCACGGATCTCTGTAGCCGATTGTTGTTGGCTGCTCCACATGATATCAATAAACAGTTGGAGGCAGTGGATACTGGCCCGGACACATTCCTGCTATTGTACTGAAGAAGTGTGCTCCAGAACATGCTCTGAGCCAAGCTATTCCGGTACAGCAACACTGGCATCCAAAAAAAGTGGAAAACAGGCCAGGTATGCCCTGTATGCAAAATGAATGACAAATTCAATCCTGACAATTGGCCACCCCACCCACCCTCCAAATCAGCATGCTTTAGATCATCAGTAAAGTAATGGAAGGGCCATCAACTGCATTATAGAGCAACACCTGCTTTGCAATAACCTGCACACTGACACTCCATTTGTGTTCTGCTTGGGAGACTCAGCTTCTCGACCTCTTTAGCCTTGTAACATATGTGAACAAAAGAACTTAATTCCAAAGCTGCAGTGAGATGAACTGCCCTTGACATATTGGTCACAAATGACCAAGTGTGGTATCACAGCGCCCAAGCAAAACCAGATAGAATGGGAATCAGAGGCAAAAACTCTTTGCTCGTTGGAGTCATATCTAACCCAAAGGAAGTTGGTTATGATTATTGGAGGTCAGTCAACTCAGCTCTGGGACATCTTTGCAGGCATTCCTCGGGCCAGGGCCCTAAGTACTCTTCAACTGCTCCATGAACCTTACCTCCATTTTAAGATCAGAAGTGGGAACGTTTGCTGATGATTGCATAATTTTGGCACCATCCACAGCTCTTTAGATACTGAAACAGTCCATGTCCAAATCCAGTAAGATGTGGATAATATCCAGGTTTTGTGTGACAAGTGGTAATTAAAATTTGTGCCACAAACTACCAAACAATCACCAGCTCAAAACAAGAGAGAATGTAACCAATGTTCCTTGACATTCAATGACATTACTATCACTGAATTCACCACTATAAATATTCTGAGGTTTATTACTGAGCTGGACTAGCCATATAAATGTTGTCGCAACGAAAGCAGGTCAGAGGCCAGGAATCCTAGTGAGTAACTCACTATCTGATTCCCCAAAGAGTGGCCAAGGGGCAAGTCAACAGTGTGATGCAAAACTCTCCTCTTACCCGGATGAGTGCCGCCCCAGCAACACTCAAAGCTTGACACTATCCAGGACAAAGCAATCATTTAATTGGCCCCACATCTGCAAACATCCAGTCACTCCACTACCAAAGCTCAGTAGCAGCAGTGTGTACAATCTACAAGATTAGCAGACTCCTTAAATAGCACCTTCTAAACCTTCACCCAATACCAGAAAAGGAAGAAGGTGGACGAAACATGGGAACACAACCACTTGCAAGCTCCCCTCCAAGCCTCTCACCATCTTGACTTGGAAATATATATACTTCCTTCAGTGTTGTTGGGTGAAGATTTTGGAATTATCTCCCAACTGTATTGTGGGTGTACCTAAACTTCATGGACTGCAGTATTTCAAGGCAGCAGTTCAGCACCACCACCTTTTCAAGGGCAATTAGGATGGGCAATAAATACTGGTCCAGCCAGCAACAAACACTTCCCCTAAATAAAAACAAACAAAAAATACCACCTGCCAGTTCTCCTCAAGTTATACATCATCCTGACATTATCATTATTGTCTCACTGTTGTGGTGTCAAAATTCTTGATACTACTTCCTAACAGCACCATGGCATTCCTATGCCCTAGGACAGTAGTGGTTCATATCGTAGTGCACCATCAACTTCTCCAGCACAACTGGAAATGGTGATGGTCAAGCCAATGACACCCACATCCCATATAAGAATTTATATTAAAAAACTGAACCTCAAGTCTCTGGTACACAATTCCAATGTAACATTAGTTCACGGCAAGAAACCAGCTGAATGAAAAACCTAACTTGTCCTACGCTATCATATGCAATGTGCACAATATTGCTTTTAAATTTCTTTGATAGTACAACAGTGGGAGTCTTCTGTCAAGTACTACAAAGTCTAGAGTAGTTACCTGTTGCAAGGACCAGTCGGCATTCTTCCACAGTTACACCAGTGAAACTTGTGTTTCTGAGACGAGGGTACTGAAATTAAATAAGTTGTTAGATTTAAGATTATTTGTTTATACACCTTTGAGCAAAACCATCCCAAAGTCCTGTAATATTCTGAATTTGGGCATGACTGACTTTAGATATCTTTGAAAAGAATACTGCAAAAGAAGAATGAATTCAATTTTAAATCGGGTTGCACGTGTACAGATGAGAGTTATGATGCAAACGATCTTGGGGGAAGTAAACAAATTGCTAATTACAGCCTATAACTAATTTGCTTGCCAACCCTAATCAAACTCAACTGTACTCTCAGAATTATTGCAACTGAATTGTTTCAGAAATAAATGATTGGCTTATATCAGCATTCACTGAATTCCTACTCTCTTCAAAAAGTTTTTGTTAAACTTCATTCAAACACAAATTATTGCACAGTCTTTAGCATGGATAACTATCCAAATATTTACTGTTATTATCAATGTACACTTGACATGGTTGTTTTACTTCATTCATTCAGGGGATGTGAGTATCGCTAAAGAGACCAGCATTTGTCGTCTATGAGAAACAGACTGTAAGCTGCCTTGAACTACTGCAGTCCATTTGGTGTAGGTACAGCCATAATGCTATTAGGCAGAGTTCCACAATATTGACCCAGCGACACTGAAGGAATGGCGATATATTTCCAAGTCAGAATGGTGAGAAGCTTGGAGGGAAACCTGCAAGTGGTGGTGTTTCCATGCATATGCCCTTCTACATGGTAGTGGTCAAGGGTTTGAATGGCACTGTTTAAACAGTCACGGTAAATTTCTGCTGGTACACACTGTTGCTACTGAGCTTCAGTGGAGGAACTAGACAAGAGGCCAATTAAGCAGACTGCTTTGTCCTGTTGAGTTTGAGGCTGATGCTGTTGGAACTGCATTCATTCAAGCAAGTGGAGAATATTCCATCACACTCGTCACTTGTGCCTTGTAGATGGTGGACAGGCTTTGAGGAGTCAGGTGGTGGGTTGTGGACATGAAGAATTTTAGATCAGGCACGATCTTAATGAATGGTAGTGCAGGCTTGAGGCACCAAATGGCCTACTCCTATTTCTTTTTGTCTACCTATGCAGGATTCCTAGCCTCTGACCTGCTCTTGTAACCTCAATACTTACATGACTGGTCCCATTTAATTTCTGGTTAATGGTTGGGGTTGTTGATAGAGGGGAATTCAGCAATAATAATGCTGATATTATGTTATAGGTCAACATTTAGATTCTCTCTTATTTGAGGCAGTCATTGCCTGGCATTTGGTGTGAATGATACTTGCCAATTGTCAACCCAAATCTGGATGTTGTCCATGTCTTATATCCGAGTAGTCTCGAATGGTGCTAACCATTGCACAATCATTGTATATCCCCGCTTCTGCCCTTGTGATGAAGGTAGTTATTCATCAGTCAGCTGAAGATGTTTGGACCTAGGACAATACCTGGAGGAACACTCACAGGGATATCACACCATCAAAGCATGCAAATCACAAAATCATTAAGAATTTGACATGTTGTGACCAGAACTGAAGTTTCTGAAAAGTACTGGATTTCAGCAACCTTTTTTTTTCATTTGGTCATCCAGATTTGGGATATTCCCCTCTAATTGCTCTTCTTTCTCCCCCTAATTATTTCAGTCTTAGCCAATTTCTACTCTGGGGAGTTTCTAGAATTGAATGCTTAACTTTGCCCTTTTTGATTCAGCAATGTGTTTCATAAACAAATACAAGAGGAAGGATAAAGATGCCAAAGCATCAGTACCTTGTTTTTGTAATAAGCAGAATGAATCCTGGCTAAACTTTCATACATCTGATCACATTTCTCTGGATCTGCAATCTAAACAGAAAAATGTTAAAACAAAATATTACTAAAAGTCAAAAATCACGAAAGCTAATGGTGGTACACGTATCCTATAGGGATCTCTGGCCCCAATATTTACACAAAGACAGGAAGGAGTCTCAGGTTGGAAATCTAGAAGCTTATTTTATCTGTAAAGCAGGTTTTCCATCCAACAGCCAGCCTGATTATCTGGTGAATTTCTGTTGGGGTAGACAGACATTGGCACAAGGATGTAGCCAGGAAGACAGGGAAGGTGAGAAAGATTGTTATTCAAGGGATAAGCTTATGATTTGCAAGATGAGGGATGGAGAACTGTTATATCAATTTAGGTTGCGGGGTGGATTAGTCAAAGATAGTGACCAACAGATCCTACTAACCTAAATTCAGCAAGATAAACTCATACAATCATGCTGCATTGTCACAATTCAGACTCCTCAAGTTCAAGATTCTCTCACTCCTAAATGATTTATTTAAAAACAATATTGCCTATTTAGTAAAACAGTGAGCTCAGAATTGCAAACATGGGGCTCAATTCCTTCTCCAGGAGTATACATTTAATCTACTGTTGAGATCGCCTCATTCTCAAATATATACTTTATAACTGCAACCGGCAAGAGTCAACTGGCTCATCATGTATGCTGATGACATCAGATCTACCTCTGCACTCACTCACCTCACAATCTTCTTGACAAAACATTAAACAAGGCTAAGGATATCATTTTTAGCCCTTTCCATGCAAGTCAGAGCATTGCCACTAAATTTTCCCCCTCTTTGGTCGCTGTACAGTGAGCCAAAATTTTCTAACTTCAAGCTCATTTTCCAATCCTGTATCATACATTTTCCAGAGTGTATGTTTCCTTCCAACTGTGTAAGACTACTGTTTCCACCTTTTCCCTCAGCCCATAAACTGTTGGGATCCTCACCTATTCTCATCTCAAACCTCAATTCCGCCAGTGCTTTCTCAAATACCTCAATCTTCAATATATCCCAAATTCTGGTGCTTACATCCTATCCTACACTAGCTGCCAATCGTCCCACTCGCTGCACTTATTCTCAAAATTAAAATTCCCAGACTTGTGTTAAAGTACCTTCATCATGCCATCATTTTCCAACTCTAATTGAACTAGCTCTACAACCTCTCACGTTAAACTTTCTGTTCCTTTGACTTAATGCAGGTGCTACACACCCCCTTCAAAAACAAATCACCGTGTGTCATGCGTTCAACTGCTTATGCCCAACATTATCAACATTTCGAATTCACTCCATCTTTTAAAATTCTTTTCAAAGTTACAACTTTGGCTAGGGTTTTATTCAGCCCACTTAATATCTCTGTTACGTCTACTTTAAATTAAACCTGAGGGAAACAAGTCAAGATATTTTACTAAGGACCTCAAATAGAAGCAGTTGGCTACATGACCCTAAAGATTGCTCCACTAATAAATAAGCTTAAAGCTGATCTATCTACACAATACAGGACTGGACAGGGCAAGGCGTGGAAAGAGATAACACAGTGTGGAGCTGGAGGAGCACAGGAGGCCAGGCAGCATCACAGGAGCAGGAAAAGACGTGGAAAGGTTGTTTCTTCTTGTGGGAGAATTAATGGGTCGCACGTTTAAGACAGATTAGGGGGAATTCTCTCTGGGGGTTTTAAATCCATGGAATTTTTTTTAACCAGAGAATTGCTGAGGCTGGATCATTAAATATAATCAAGGCTGAGAGACGCTTTAATTAGTAAGAGAATCAGGAGTTGTGTAATTGGGAAGTAAGTGGTGTTGATAATTATCAGTTCATCCATGATCTCAATGAATGATGGTGCAGACTCAATGGGCTGAATGGCCTACTTCTGTTCCAATGTCTTATGGCCTTAATTTAAATTTCCTGACTGATTCTCATATCTCTTTATTCCCGTAAGAGTTGAAAACTCTAGTGATGTAAGCCCTGAATATTTCAATAATTGAGTCTTCACAACTCTGGGGCAGAGAATTCCAAGTTCTCTTAGTGGAGAACCTTCTCATTTTGACCCAAACTGGATATCCCCTTACCTTGAGGTTATGCTCTCTTATCCCTGGTTCTCCAGATTGGAACAACAGACTCTACAGTAAAAGTCATATATAAAGGGCAAGTTTGTTTCTCAATTTAAAACAATGATCAGATAAAAATTATTGAAGTGAATGCAGAATTGGAAGGAAGTTGACAATACGTTCCAAATATGCTTCTGCTCACATATCTAGGCTGATGTTTCACAGCAGTACTGTGGTATTGCTGCACTGTCTGATTATTGTTCAGTTCAGACATTAACAAGTCTGCTTGCTCTGAGCATTTAGGTGGATGCTAAGATTTCCACAGTAGTCCTTACACCCAAGATCTAGTGAATATTTCCAACATAACGACCTTAAAGTTGACTAATTGCTCCTCTAACTCACTGCTTTTGAAATTTAAAGGCAGCTAAGAACTAACAGAAATGCAAGTCTACCGTCCTTTCTGTTAATAGTGTAATCAATAATGCCATATTATCCGAATCCACTGGCAAGGCAATATTTATTGTCCATCGGTCGCTACCCAACGGTAACAAATCAACTGCAATCTGGAATCTCATATACCAGACCAGACTCAGCTTGCATGTTTCTCCGTGAAATGTGTTAGTAGACCATCTGGTATTTTTTTTTAAAATTAGATCTGGCAGCTCCCAATCATGTTTCTTTTCTGCTGACAGCCTGTATGTTAGTTACCACATTTCCATATTCAAATTCACAACATGTCATGGTTGGATTTAAACTGTCAAACTCCAGTAATCACCAAGCTTCCATAACTCCCACCAGTTGACAATTGCACGTATTTAAATACGTGAACAATAAGTCTAAGTCTTTTAAGCTATGAAATCCCTTCCATTTTGTTAACTAATCATAATAGTATACTATTATGTAGTGTTAAAATTCAAAGTGCCGCAGTGAATTTTCTGGTACATTGAAATAGAGATACAGGAGAACATGCATTTGAAATTTTTAAAAAGCCAGCTTTTTGTAGTTCCATTTGTTTTTCAATTGAATTCTCTAAACTGATCAAATACAGATTCAATATCATTTTGATTCTATCTACTCTATCAATTTACAGTTAATTAAAATGGCAAATTAAAAATCCTGCCACAAGAAAACAGCCACTGTAGAATTTAATTTCTGTATTATGCAATATGTACCATCACAAAATAAAAACTGGAAGAGATGTTAGGTAACCCAGTTAGCAACGGGAAATAATTAAAATTAGGAGGTCTGATGAAATTGTAGTGGTAGCTAGTTCACATATTATTTTCCACCAAGATTCCAATTGCTAAGATAGTCAAATACAACAGTTATTAGGATGCGGAGAAACAAATATAAACAGCAGAGAAAGGAGTTTTCTAAGAACCAAAGTTAGCATGGACTTTCCAATAACTGGGGAATTGGCAGCAAGATACTGAAAGAAATAAATTACTGAAGAAACATGTAATTTCAACAGAGAAATAAAAATGACTTGCAACCCTAAAACCCCAGGACCCTTGAAATAACGTTCTCCTGAAATGGATTGTAAAAATTGTTGAAAATGTCAAGCTAGAAACAAGGAAATCCGTTCTGCATGAGATCAGAAATATAATAATTATAGAGAGCAAGATTATTTCTTTGCCAAGTGTCTGAAGCTCAGAAAGTGGAACACACACAAACAATAGTTACAAAGATGCTTGCAACTCAGGTTCTGTTCACTGATATGAATTTGTTGGGATTGTAAAAGATCACATGATAAATGATATGCCATTAATCATAACTGTAAGAAAGACAGACTTCAGCTAGACTGTCATTGTTGCTACTCCCACTGTTTTACTTGGGAATGAAAAATGGACTATTAGTTTGCTCTTTCCTAGGTTCTTATGATGGTCTCCATATTTCAAAAATATTAAGTATCAGGCAAGGAAAAAAAAGTTACCAGACCCTGCATCTTCAAAGTGGCTCCAATTGCAATCTAGGCTACTGTTGTGCACGGTAGTTAATTGGGATGTGCATGAAGTAGTCTGTGTCTCGACTTATTAATTTCCTGCAATGGTTATCAAAAAACACGTGTTAATGCATTGATGAGAGTTATGTAAGCAAGGTGCTAATGATAGGAAAGATCTTGTAAGAATCTCTTTCAGGGCTTATATGGCACAGTGACACTGTCCCTATCTCTCAGTGTCCTGGGTTCAAGTCCCACCTGCTCCAAAGGTGAGTCATAACACATCAGAACAGGTTGATTGGAAAACATCTGCAACAGCCTCTTTCATAGGGGACAAAGTATTTGATAAACTAATAGGACGAAGGGCAAAGAAGTTGCCTGGTAAGGGAGTTAGTGACAAGAAATTAGTAAAGTAAATGCTTACGAAAAGAACGAGGCAGAGAGTTGAAAAGGGACATTACTTATGTATAGTTCAGGCACATATCTTTTGAGGGAAAACAAATGGTTGCTTAAATCAGAGAAAGAACAAGTTGTGGAGAGAGACAGCAGCATAATTAGATTTTCACATTGTGTGAGCAAAAAGCCAGTGGAGAAGTTAAGCTAAATGATCTGTTATGATCTCCAAAGAGACATAACTTTTAAAAAATAAAAAATTCCAGTTAATACTAAAAATGTCCTGTCGAGATTTTATTATAAAGCATTTACAGAAACAGCAGAATAAAAATGTGACTGACTAAACATTTTGCAGAAGTTACGCTTTAAGGTACAGAATGGATACATCCTCTTTATTCTACACATCCCTTACACAGGCATTCAATTCCTCAGAATCAATCCAAGTGATTCTTGGATCCCTAGGGAGTACGCTTGTTGTTTCTCCCCAGTTGTAATTTACAATTTTAGAACTGCCTGGAAACCAGAGGTTTTATTTTCTGTGATTCACCTTCCAGCCCAAGTTAGATAACTCTTCCTGCCTTGTTTCAACTCCCTACTAATTTAGTCTTTTTAATCCGTGTGTGAGGTTCCATCTGGATTTGTGCATCACAAACTATCAACACTTTTTTATTCCCTAACTGCTCTCTCACACCTAAATCCAAGACAACTCAAAGCATCACCTGTGATATTCTAAAAGCCTCCAACCTAACCATTACAGTTCTCCCCTCCTCTCCCCCCGCCCCCCCTCCCCTCCCCTTTTCCACTCCTTCTCTCTGCACTCCATTCCCCTCTCATCCTTCACCCCCCTTTCACAGCCTCCTTCCTTTCCCCCTTTGCCCTCACTGACCCCGCTTCACACCCTCCTCCTTTTCCACCTTCGCCCACCTTCCCCCTTCATCCCATCCCCCCATATCCAACACCCCCTCTTGCCCTTCCCACACTCCCCTTCCCCGCCTTATCCACTACCCCTGCTCCCCTTTCCACCGAACCACCGCTGCCATTTCCCAAACCCCTTCATCTCCCCGACATCTGGCCCACCTGATCCCCAGCTCCCCAAAACCACCGAACCCCCGGCCACTTACTCTCCCCCACCCCACAAACCCCCACTTCCCTTCCTCTCTCACTACCCCATTCCACCCCCACAGCTGGAAGCCCTGCCCCGCTTCGCCCACACTCCCCCGCCCCACGACCCCGACCCCATTCCTCACCACACCCCTCCCCTTCCGGTTTACCTGGGAGCTTTCCCCTTCTCGGAAACCTTGCGCCACTCTCTGGCGGATGAAAGCCCCGAGGTCTCGGCCTTTCTTGGTCTGATCCAGAGGCCACTCCTCGCAGAGTTTCAGGAAGCGGCGATACCGGGTCGCAGCCATTCTGAGAACCCACAGGCCGCTGTCCGCCGGCACCGACCCTTCAACGGCCAACAAAACAAAATGGCGTGTGCACGTGTGCGCATGTGCGGTCCCGGCAGCCTGTGCTGCCTGAGCTGTCAATCATTGGGAATCCTTATGCTCTCTATACCAACTGTTCGCATCATTTGCAGGAGCCAGAGTACAGGTTTCGAAATTAGATTTTTTTTTCACTCGATGTTTACTGAATCTCCTGGACGTTGCTCAGAGTGTCCTAGACCTGGACTGATTGTTAAACAGCTTGCAGAACCTGCTAGGTGTATTGGAAATGCAGAAAAAGCATAAAGGCTGCCCGTAGGAACCTCACACAGCCTGCAAGGTTGTTGGACGAGATTTTGATGTTACTGAGGCACGATGCAGGTAACGGCTGTGGCTGGCCTAAGCATCCTTTTATAGCAGTTCCTACTGCCCACTGTACCAGTAGGGAGCCATAGTTATAGTCTGTGGCTGTCTAAAAGCTTTCACTAACTTTACAATGAGAGCATTGCCTGCATTTCATAATCTGAATTGTACAGGTGGATTTCTCCTTGCTAGTTCACTTTAGGAAACCTAGTTGGCACAGACAAGTTGGGGTGGAGGGTCTGTTTCTGCGCTGCATGACTCCATGAGTCTAGAGGAGACCAGTGATGGAAATGAACAGGGAGAATAGGAGAGTCCTGCTATTTAAAACAATGAAATTAAAGCAAAGTAATGTGAAGGCTAGAGATCTGAAACAAAAAAAAAAGTGCCAGAGAAATTCAGTGTCTGGCAGCTTCTGTGGAAGTTCTGAAGAAGAATCCTATCGTACTCGAAGCATCCACTCTTTCTCTCCTCACAGATGCTGACAGATCTGCTGAGTTTCTCCAGCACTGTTTTTATTTAAAGCAATAGATGGTTTTCTGCATGTTTTAGACACAACGGAATGCCCTCATCAATGCAGGATTGCCCACTGGAGTCTATAGTTACCAGTCATCCCAGAAGTAACATGGATTTGTCCCCCATTTACACCATTTAATTGAATTGTAAATCATGTGAATATAGGTGCCACTGAAGCAGGGATTTTATTTGTGGGGACTTTGCACAAGTTTCTGCATTTGCTTGTGTAGTAGTTTTGAACCAGAAGAGGAAACTCATCTATTCCATCAAACCGAAGCTGGTATGTGATCATAACAGAAGGAAAACACAAGTTATATCAAGGTGTATATCAAATATAATATGATTATATCTAATATTGATTTTTACTTCATCAGATGGACACATGAAATTAAAAAGAAAAAAGAATGTTGAAACAAGAGATGTTAACTAGCAAGATGCGCACATCTATTATACATTATTGTACATTCCACATAATTTGGCCATCCTCCCCTGGCCTGTATGAGAAATTTGTTTAACTTGGCTTGTAGTCAGAGAGTTCAGAAGTATGAGAAAAATCTAATTGATGTGTATGCAATTTTAACAGGCTAGACAGACTAGATGCAGGAGGATGTTTTCCCTGGTTGAGGAGTCTAGAAGCAGGGGACACGGTCTCAGCATAAGGGGTGGACCAGTGAAAGGCCGGTGGAGGCCAAATCACTGAATATATTCAAATAAAAGATAGAGAGATGGTATGGAAGCAGACTCCTCTGTCCAACTAGTCTACGCCAACCATGTTCCCAGACTAAACTTGTCCCACTTGCTTGTGTTTTGGCCTATATCCCTCCAAACATTTCCTATTCATCTATCTATCCAAATGTCTTTTAAATGTTGTAACTGTACCTGCATCCACCACTTCCTCCGGCAGTTCATTCCACACACGAACCACTCTGTATGAAGAAGTTGCCCCTCATGTCCTTTTTAAAAATTTCTCCTTTCACCTGAAAAGTATGCCCCTCAGTTTTGAACTCCCCCACCCAAGGAAAAAGACCCTTGCTATTCACCTTATCTATGCCCCTTATAATTTTGTAAACCTCTATAAGGTCACCACTCAACCTCCCATGCTCCAGTGAAAAAAAGTCCCAGCTAATTCAGCCACTCCTTATATCTCAAACCCTTCATTCCTGCAACAACCTGGTAAATCTTTTCTGAATCATCTTCAATTTAATAATATCCTTCCTATAGCAGAGCAACCAGAACTGCACACAGTATTCCACAAGAGGCCTCACCAACATCCTGTGCAACTTCAACATGACATCCCAACTCCTTTACTCTAAGGCCTGAGCAATGAAGGCAAGTGTGCTAGATGCCTTCATAACCACCCTGTCTACCTGTTTCACTTTTAAAGACATCAGGAATACAGTGAGAAAATGGGAATATGGAATTAAGTTAGAGGATCAACTGTGATCATATTGAATAGTGTGGAGGTGCTGGTGTTGTAGTGGGGTGGACAACGTCAAAATTCACACAACACCAGGCTATAGTTTATATAAACAGGTTTATTTGAAGATACCTGAAGACGGAGTGAGTCTCCAAAACCTTGTGTCTTAAAATAAACCTGTTGGACCATAACCTGGTGTTGTGTGATTTTTGGCCATATTGAATGGAGGAACAGGCTCAAAAGCCTGAATGATCTAATCCCACTTCTAGTTTTTGTGTAACCTCTAATCTTGTGTGTATGAGCTTCAAGTGCATGTACATGTGTGCGTGGGAAGTCAAAGTATATTTTATTATTATTTTCCCTAGTCAGTTTTAGCGGAATAAAACTAACCTCTGTATTTGTTGAACTCAAGAAACTAAGTTGATTAATTCTTTTATGATAATGTGTAAACAGTTAACTACTCAGATTTGGCAACAATAACTATTTTTAAACAAAAAAAAAACCTGTCACGATTAAACAAGGAGAGAGAAAAGAGAGGAGCCATTTCATCATCTGTTCATAACACAAGTTTGCATCAATTCTGCTGATCTCGCCATCCATTATTCTTCAGTCCAGGAACACCAGAAGATAGAGCACGTTTAGCTGGTGACACTTCTTTACAAGTCCACCATTATCTGAGCAATACTGATAAAACGAGAGTCATAATCCATTAAGAACCTGAGAAATCATACATTGGGCAGTTTGGCTGAAAGTTTATATACTTCGATCAATACAATGTGGTCATCCAAAATAAGCCATAATATTCTAGTTATGCTTCATTGTGCATAATATGACAATTCAAAGAGGGTTACATGGAAGAAAAACAATATCATGCTTTGTCCAATGATAAGTTGGAAAAAATTGAATGAAGGTGAAGAAAAGCCATAAGAAGGAGGGGCATCAAAATACAATGCAAGAAGGTATGCAGGGACTAGTTGAAAGAGTGATGCTTGTGGTGACCTCCTCACTGCTTCATCTGTAACATCAGGAAAAACAAAGTCTTGTTACCTCTTTGATTCTTCACATCGAAAATATGCAGCCAAACACTATGTAAATGTCTTTAAACAATTGAGACAAAGAAACTGTAATCCAAAGCAACTGGAGACTGAAGATGCAAATGTAAGAAATGTGTTGATCTTAGTTCCCAACAGAATATTATTGTAGTGAATTTTTTTTGTCATCTAAGTGATTAACCAATTATGCCTTACTAAAAGGGCATTTTTACTAACTCATCTCTTCTATGATGTGTCCTTTGAATAGCTTTGGCAGTACTCACAGAAGGTTGCTATTTCTGAGATGAAGGCCCTTGAGATTTTTATGCCTCGCATGTTTGGGAGCTTGAGGCCCTGATGACCTCAATGCAGCATTTTGCTGGCTGTTGGGAAAATGGCACAATTGACTTATTGGCACTGCTGTTGATATAGATTGAAGATGTGGCAAGAAAAAAGACAACCTTCCATCCTCAGAGAAGTAATGCATACCATTACTGTTGATCCATTAGCCCTTTTGTGGGGCTTGGGCTTAGTATTCCAACTTTGTCTGCATTACAACAGATTGCCAGAAAGTGACACTTTGAGTTCATCTATTAATCTGTCAAAAGCAAATCTCACCATGCCAAGACAGAGCACAGGTTTGAGCCCATAGTCTGCTTAAGAGTCATTTATGTTTACACCAAACCTTTAATGATTGTGAATATATTGTGAAGACCTAGCTGCGGTGTCGCCAGTGATGGTCATGGTCTCCAAGATTGTTTGCCGATAAAAAATTTTCGGCTGTAATTTTTATTTTTATAAGGAGATTTTAAGGATTGGGCATTTCAGGTAATTTATATTACTCATAGATGAGTAACGCCACAGTTAAATTTCGAATATGCTCCCTCTTTTATCAACCTCTCAACAATGTATTTTCAGACTTAGACATTGCAAGATATTTTTCTACATCAGTCATTTTGTGACCTTTATGAAATTGCTAATTAGTGGAGCGAACCATATGATGTCATTCTCATTTTGCAAAATGGCATTTTTGCTACATCAAGGATTTTTATTATTGCATGGCTGTCAAAAATATGTTGGAAGCTGAACTGTTTTGGTACTTGTTTTGTCCTGGAAATTACTTTTCCTTTTATTTAATTTTATTCCCTCCTACTTCTTTTTGCTCTCTCATTCTTTGACCATGACAAAGCTGCCATTAAACTGAGATACCTCCAGAGGCTTTACAAAGACTGTAAGAACGTTTTTCTCACCTACACTGCCACTTACCTTTACATGACTGCATTCCGTTAAATATTGCTTGAACTTCACCTTACTCTCACATCACTCTCCCACAATTGAATTATATTTCCTACAAAAGACCATAGAAGTACATTATAAACAACTAGCTGAAGTTAAGAGCATAAGAAAAGGGTGCTCTGGTTTCCTCCCACAGTCCAAAAATATGCAGGTTAGGTGGATTAGCCGTGCTAAATTGCCCATAGTGTCCAAGGATGTGCAGATTAGGTGGATTATCCATGGCAAATGCAGGGATAGGGTAGAGGGAATGGGTCTGGGTGGGTGCTCTTTGGAGGGTCAATGTGGACTTGACAGTCCAAATGGCCTGCTTCCACACAGTAGGGATTCTATGATTCTACTGCTGGAGCAGGTGAGACACATCCAAATCATTTAGATATATATTGTAAACAGTTGTAGATCTCGTACTGATCTTTCTAGTAACCTACTAGTAACAGCCTGCCATCCTTAGAATTT